CCTTTTTCCCTAGGTCTTATGAGAGTCTCTCTCTTGCCCCGTAGGATCCGTCTGCTATATCCCTGGTTCATGTATTTCACTCGGCCACTGAAACCTCATCTGTGCTACTCTTGGGGTTATTAACCCTCCCCTGCGTCTTGGTGACTAATTCGAGGTAAGTATGAAAGGAAATATTCATGAGGTCATGAGATAATTTTAGTCTCTAAGTAAATGCAAGTAAAATATATCTTTCATGAGCGCCCCAATCTGTGTATTTATCAAAAATTAAAACGATAGATAAGCTAACCTAAATTATTTGAATTATTAATAAGATAGCATGCTTTATTACCTTAAGTAAGGAATTTGTATTCATTATTTTTTAAAAGAAAAAAATGGATGTCAAAAATATTAATTACCGCGAAGATACGAGTCCGAATAACATTTCCTTGGCCGGAAAAGTTACTACCGTAAAGAAGTGGTCTGAACTCGTCTTCGCAAATTGGTCTTGTCAGGGCGACTTCGTTGGTCACACCTTGTCTGAAGTTTTCTGCTATAGTAGTTATCATAGTTCCCAGCGTCGGACCCTGGACTTGGTACATTCCCACGCGTTAAGCCAGCATCATCAGCCAGTCTGGAAATTATGTTTACCGTTATAGGAGGACTTTGGTCAAGGCGCATCCAACTAGGTCACCCTGACAACACGAACAGGCTGCGAAAACGAGATCAGACAATTTCTATACATCAAAAAGGAACCGCAAATAAAATAGAGGACACATCTTAGTCATCATTACAACTGTAAAGTTACTCAGCATTTATTTACGATAACCATTGATCATCAAAGGCAAAATATAAAACAATTCAAAATTTAGAATAGGCGGCCCCAAGAAGTAAATTAATGAAATAAGCGTGCAACATTGGAATAGATAACTTAAAAAACTACCATGTAAAGCTCGGTGGAATGACGGGCATCCATATGCTTGTCCAGATAATATTCGGTAGAGAATCTTTTCTTACAATAAAGGCATTCCCAATCCCGCTCAGAAATACGTGCCTTCATCAATTCTTGCCGCCGAAAAATATCCTTCGTGGGATTTAAAGGACATTTCGAATCGACGGGCACACCGAGATATTCAAAGAGAGGGAAAATGTTTTCGTCTATAATTCTTCTGGCAACTCTACTAGCTCTTCTATCGCAGGTTATATTTGTCGGAAGGGTGGCACACGCTCGAAGCAAAAGCAGCAATAGGGCAAAAAACATGTTTAAAAAAACTCAAACCAAATGTGCTTAAGTTACAAAGTAATTAATTTCCTTAATGTTTTATATTAATTTTTATGATTAGTTAGATGATTATTTGCTTTTTGTTTTTTTCTTTTATATTCCGCCTCTTTCGAAGTTTTCCCGCTAGTAATGCAGGCGCCTTCTGCAGCCGGCAGTGTTTCTTCCAATAACGTTTCAAGTCACCCTGGAAACAGTTCAAACCTTTGGATTAATAAGCTTAAAATTGTTGGAAGTGGACAGAACTGGGCAGTTGCACCATGCGAACCATTTTATTTAATGAGCTCGGAAAACCTGACAACAGATAATCCTCTTACTGGTGCAAAAAATCTTATAGAACACTATGGCTTGGAAAGCGCTTATCAGAAATTCTGTGGAAAAAAGCTCAGAGATAATTTAAGTGCTTTTCTTCCACATTTGCCTGGGAATGTTGATGTACCCGCCTCCGAAGACGGTAGCAGCCTTATGGTAATTACTCATACAAAGCCATCGACGTTTGTTTTTCATATGCTATTAGGAACCATGCTAGAATAATTCACAATTTACGTTTAACATGGGGAGTGTATTAAGTTTATGTCACTTTTGGTTATTATTTTTATCTGTGGAATGGATTTTTAATGTCGCAGGCCTTGGCACAATCAACATGATCATTAGGTCAAAAGTGAAATGTGATGCGTCTATACTTCACTCTGAATTCAAGGCGGTATTAGTTGGTCTAATAAACTTTGGGAAGACAAATAGATTGTCTTTGCTGTAGCATATTATCTGGTTATGTTGTATATTTTCTGATTATTTCATTTAGTATCCTTTCAGTTTTATTTCTTATAAAAATTCAAAATAAAGAACTCCGATCATATTTACTTGCTTTAGATTGAGACTAAGTGCGTACGTTAATAATTGTTACAAGCACCATCCCATCTTAACCGTAGTCTAGTTATTTTATATATTTCTGTATTTTTACTAATTCCAACGTTTTCTGTGTAGTAATAAAGGTTATTGCTACTATTCAAATTGTAAATAATATAATCGAAGATATGAAGACAAAGATGGTGTGGCCTTTTGTGTGGTCACAGTCTCCTTTCATTTTATAGAAGTTGTCTGACCCTGTTTTCCAACTTGGTCATATTGGAAGGAAGACTTAGAGGAACGCACCTTGTCCGGAGTAAATTGTATGCATGATCATTTCCAAAGTCGGACCGTGGACGTGGTACATTCCCCGACGTTTCGGGCATCCTCAGTGAGTCTTGCTATTCTTAGCACCATTCAACTCGTTAAAGTGAAGCCGATCCATCTACCAAATGTGTGCTAAACAGTTGGGGTATCTTTCCTTCTGTCCTGGGCTACTCACATTTCCTATATCCTCGTTCAGCCTTCACTGCTACAATGTTTGCCCTGCTTATTTCGATTTAGTGTGATGGGCTCTTTTGAGCGGCATTCATGAAAACCCTCCACAATACACGCTGGCGTTCTCACTATTTTTCACTCTTTAATGGGAATTTTGATCAGAGTCTATCATATTGTTACGCAGTCCTTTTTCCCTAGGTCTTATTAGAGTCCCCCTCTCGCCCCGTGGGACCCGCCTTCTATCTCCCCCACCCACTCTGTGCTATTCGATGCGTTGTTACCCATCTACGTGTGTGTGACTAATTAGAGGCTAAAGCCTCTGAGTAATTCTCATGGTCAAGTTTTAGCTACATGGACTACGTCTATGGTAAGGCAGGCCTACTGTCAGCCAATTAGCTCCAGTCTCCGCTGCGTCTATCCTGTTTCTATCCGTAACATAAAGTCTAAGACTTGCTATGCCATAGAGTCTTGTGTGCCAACCCGCAAACGTTGTGGTTTAAGATTGAGCCTAAACAAAGCAAGTAAAACCATGGAATTTCGCTTACGTATGATCGTTTTACATTTTTATAGGGTTCGAAGAGTTTTGCTTTGATGATGTGTCTTAGGACATGAAATTTCAGTCATGATTTATTGGGCTCTCAGTAATGTGTACTATGGGTTTATTTAGTCAAATCCACAATTTAAAATGAATTATTGCTTTGGTTTCCAGACTAACCAATTTTCGCATCTTTTTCATCTAAGCTTTCATACGAAAATTCCATTTAGATGAAATCATCTAAGGGCTCTTTAGAAACCCTATTTTTCTCAATGGCTCGATGCTTCCTTGGTGCCTTGGAAAGTTCATAGTTACAACACATTTAAGTTACCCTGAAATCACATTTTTTTAAATATATATCTCTTTGCAACCAAACGACTGGGGATCAATGCGCAAGAAACTTGATGTAATTGAAGATTTATTAGTGATACTTATGTCGAATAATTTTCCCTGAAATAGAGGTCGATGTGACCACTTAAGATCTTTTAAGATCTGTTGCTGAATAAGTTACTTCTGTCCAACAGCCGCTAACTAGTCTGGCTTAGATTTGTATCTTCTGCGAATACAACCTGTTTTTTTTATTAAAGGGCCTTATTGAGCGTCCTCCCATTCGCGGTAAGGAGCTGCGACTATTCGCCCCTTCGCAGCTGGACCATGGATTCCGACTACATCCAGGCCCTTTGCCTCAAGAATATGCCGTCCTTTTTGCTGGGCCACCTGCGGTAGTGCCCCCATCCCACCCTACCTCTGGTGGTAGCGGAGGCAATAGTGCCGCTGCATGTGCCACCACTGTCTCTTCCTCTATCCCTGTTAGCTCCGGTGGACGAGATTCGTTTGGTATCGGCCGCCTTCCTTCGCACCCTGCGCATGCGCCCACCACTGCGACTATAGTGGGTCCTCATGCTCATGGTCACTTGCTGCAGAATCAGCATCATCATCACCACCACCAACCGCATGTAGTCGGTCCATCAGGGCCTGCATCCTCTTCACCTTCACCAGCTAATGTGGGGCAGCCGCAACGACGTAGAAGACATGATGTCCATCGCGGGCTTGTTCAGATGCCTTCGATTCCCCCGGGCACAACAGCAGGTCCTGCTGCCGGGGCGGCCACATCGTCGGGAATCACCTCTGCTGGCGGCTCTACACTCTCAGCGACTGCGTCTTCTGTTGCCGTCGCTGGTTCTACATCTGGGGCCGGCGGACTCGCTAGTGCAGGCCAACACGATCTTCCGCCTGGGCTCTTGCCTGTCACTAATTTGCCCGCCGGTGGTGGCATCGGTGGAGTTTCTTCCCATGGTGGAGTTATGATGATGATGAATGGCGCTTCAACAGGTTCTCTTGGGCTCCAACAGGCACAGACTACTTCATCCTCCCAAGCGCCGCCGCCACCTCCACCAGTTCTTACTTCTCTAGCCCAACCTGGCGGAGGCAGTGGCCCACCTTGTCTGGGTCCCGGGGCTAGCAGCAAAACTTCTATCAATATCCCTAGGGTTCCTAGTTTTTCTGGGACAGGTTCCGGTCTTGGGGCTGGTATCTCGGCTCCTTTGCCGCCACAGCTGCACAGCCTTGCACTAACTCCTAATACTGCAGGATTAACTGGAGGGAGCCTCGGGATTACTAGTTCTTCAGGAACTAATGTTGGTAGTGCTCTACCACCGCCTACTCCACCCATGCTCTCGGCATCCACTTTGCCCACTTCGCAGCACCCACCACATCACTATCATCATCAACAGCAGCAGGCAACACCTCAACAGCCTCATCATTACCACCAGCATCAACATCAGCATCATCACCGCCTACATGGCAGAACCACGTCCCCTGTGCCAAATCTGACGCCAGCCCCTGGCGTGGATGAGTTGAGGAAGAGTCTGCTCAAACGGCCTGCCCTCACAGATCAACTCTCCACTTCATCCACTACTGCTTTATCTTCAGACCTTGCAGCAACCTCAGGTAATATGGGATCAAGCGGGCTTATAGCGCCTATTTTAAGCAGCAGTCTGGCTGCAGAAGATGAAAAACGCCGCAAAAAGCGCAAAGATAAGAAGAAACGGAGAGAAAAGGATTAATTTCTTCCCCATCCTTTACACTTCTCTCTATATCTTAGATACTTAGAATTCTTCTTGGCATATCCGGAGTCTAAAGGCTGTCCTACTTGCCTTCGTGCCTTTGGATG